CAAGCAGATGATGATTCCTATAATGTGCGACCCTATGATTCCTATAATGTGTGACCCTATTGTTCATATACCGGTTATCGATATATGCTCTTCCGGTCAAGGCTATCTGGTAAGCGCAGGACCCACCAGCATGATACCGACCAGCATCCCTCCCCTCCCAGTGGAGAATGATTCGCTGGTTGAGAAAGGCGCAAGAGAAACACTGCGATTGCTGATAAGCGGAGCCAGCTCAACAAACACTGCTCCATTGAACCACCATGGAAGCAGAGGTCTATACAGTGGATGCCGAGGCGTGGGTGGTCCGAGCTTGTTTGCACCTATTGGGCTGCAACAACCGAGTGCAGGTGACGGAGGAGATAGTCGGGTGGATGTTGGTGGTGAGAGTGTGAGCTCAGGCGAAGCAGTGCATGTGCCTCCCAGAGAGTCTTCCGGTTAGTTTTGTTGGTGTATTTGTAAGTGTGATTCCGAAACGGAATTTGAAAAGTGTATAGAAAGTGAGATTTGGGGCTTGTGAAAAGTGAAAACTCATCTCTCGCTTAGCTCTTGATTTTGTTCAGCCCAACTTATTATATAATCTTTTTTGTTATTTTCGAGTTTCAAAGGGAGCTTGAGAGATGCAACAAATAGTAGAAGCTATTTAGCAAATAGTAAGACTTGATAATCACTTCTTTTTTGTATTAAAACATAGGAAAATGGTTATAAACCAAAAAAAAATCTAAATTGTGTTTGGTATAATAGTAGTTGTTAATGTCATCTAAAATCGAATGTTATTGAAATGATTTTTAAGAGAGATTTTATTATTATTACAGGATTTGAATAACAATAGGGCTAAGTAAATGGGATCCGAGCAAGTTGAGATATACTTGTGATGTGTCTTGATCGAATTTGTTCAATAATACAATGAGGTGGACAGGTCTAATTGTAAAAAAAGAGAAGTTTGGACTCGTTCCATTTCATCCGTGAATGCCCCTTTCTGCATTCTTTATTTCCACTTATATTTTTTCGATTTCTCCTTTTGTATTGTCTCTATCCATGTCTCATCTACTTTTCATCAATTTCTATATCCAATGTTGATTTCCAATTTAAGGTTTCCATGTTAAAAATCTACAATACGCTTATCTTCGGTTTGAAGAAACTTGCCGAC